GCAGGGCTTTCGGGGCAAACGAGCCTTCTGCTCCCCACAAAGTGACGCCCAGCAAAACACAGGGACAGCACTTTCCCTCGACTCCTACCAGGCACCCGGAACAATCACAACTTGTAGGGTTTTGGCCACTGGACAAAATTCTCAAAGGCAGTCTGCTCTCTGAACACTGAGTGCTTTATGAGCTCTCAGGAGGCACCCGGAGGGGCCGGTCCGGGTGAGCCCGGTGAGGGTGGACAGAGTCCCAGGGTGTGCGGGGGTCCTGGGCCAGCTCTGCTGGTGGTCCTCACTATCTCTCCGGCTCTCAGTCCACCTTTTCATTTCATCACTAAACAACAACATCAGCCTCAATTTCCTATTTCCGAGCCTAGAACTGGTCAAAGGAGAAAAAACCGGCATGTCTCACTAAAACGAACAAGCCCTTGGGCGCCTGGAGGGCTCAGTCAGTTAAGCGTGCAACCTCGGCTCAGCTCATGATCTCATGGTTCGAGGGTTCAAGGGTTTGAGCGCCACATCGGGCTCTGTGCTGACAGCTCAGAGCCTGGATCCTGCCTTGGAGTCTGTGTCTCCCTCTCTTTGCCCCTCCACCACTCGTGTTCTCTCTCAATCTCCCTCTTACTCTCTCTCAAAAATAAACATTGAAAAAAAAAAAAAAACCCAAAAGAGTGAGCCCTCGCCCCACTGGGGAGGTGAATCGCCAGCTGCCAAGGGCTCTGCCAGCCTCATCCTGACCAGGGCCCTGCTCACAAACGGCAGTGTGCAAAGCCAATGCTCTGCTCCTCTGTCTTGGCCTAGCACACCTCAGGTATCTAAGCAAGGGCTGTCCCAAGGCTTCAGCCCATGATTCTCGCCACAGCCGTTTTCTTCTAAAACGCCACCAGAACTCCCCGCACACTTTAAAACCATCAAAAGCCCCCAAAACGTCATGAGTGTGTGCGCGAGGCCCTTTGCCAAACCCTCAGGGGCTCCAAACACAACTGTTCCAACCCATCTGGAAACTCTTAACTCCCTTCAACCCGAGCTGCAAGGTCACTGCCTCAGACAGAGCTAGATACCCTCTTTTCCAGGTGAAGTCCAAGTGTTGGTCTCGTCCCCGGCCCAGAAGGCTTTAAAATTCCCTGGTCTGTCATCTGTGTCCCCCCCCCCCCCCCGTCGCCCAGACTATGAGCCACAGGACAGATGTCTTCCCTTTAAACCCCAACACTGAGCAGTGTTTGATGCATAGTCTTGGGAAAGCATTAGATCCCTGTCAAATTCAGAGCCACCTGACCGAGTTCCTTGAGAACAGAAGAGACAACAACTTTGGGTCTTGCCTCCCTACTAAAATTCTCTTTGCTCCCTCAACCCCCTTCCTGAGCACTTCCTGCAGGGGCTAGCGTCGGCTCTTGGCAAAAAAATAAAATAAAATAAAATAAAATAAAATAAAATAAAATAAAATGGTAGAATCCAGGGAAGACCACAGCTCTCCATCTGGGGCAGAGCTTACAATCCCGGCTGTGGAGCTGGCTCACGCTCTTCCAAAATGACCAAACTACAAGCCTCAGGCGAACTCCTTGGAGGGGCGAGCACTCTCCAGGCCAGAGCTAAGTGCAGTTCATGCAGTGGCTTATTGCGGGGATGGGTGATCATTTTCTGAAAAAGGCCGAGTGAGCTTCACGGGTCACAAGGTTTCTGTGGCAGCCACTCAGCTCTCCTCTTGTGAAGAGCAGCCACAGGTTAAGGGGTTCGCGATGGAGGAGTGGCTTCACTCACAAAGACAGGCTGCAGCTGGGTCTGGCCCCCTGACTGCAGTATGCGGAGACCTGGGCTTGTTTACTCCAATCCCCATTCTACAGAAGAAAACACGGAGACTAGAAAGATGGGGGTGCCACCTGAGGTCGCCCAGCTAAACACAAACCCAGACTTTTGAACCCAGCAGACTCCAGAACCTCTACTCCAAAGAGCACTATCCTGGGGGTATAGCTCAGTGGTAGAGCATTTGACTGCAAAGTGCACTTTCCTCTCCCCCAAAACGCGCACAGGACATCAGGGGGTTCATCTCGCCAACCCCACGGATGCAGTTCATGCTGGTGAAGACTCTCTGGTCTGGAGCAGGGTTTAACTTCTGCACCGAGGACACTGTGGCCTGTCTTCACCACAGGGCGCTGAGCAGCACCCCGGCCCCACCCACTCGGCGCCAGGAGCACACCCAGGCCTGACAACAACAGATGTCCTCCAGACATCGCCCTGTGTCCCTCAGGGTGACTGACCCACTGGTCTGGGGAGAGGAAACGCAGACAGAGATATATAATCAGAGATAGAAAACCGAAGGGCACGGGCACATCCTGCAGCCTGAGGAACGCAGGCTGCACACACATTTTCTGACACCTAATAAAAAAAAACAACCGTTCTCTAGTATACTCCTAACAAGCGCAGAAGCCCGGTGACAGAATGTTCTGTTTATTTAACCTCACAGTGACCCTGGGAAGCACGTTCTCCTACGTCCCTATTCTAGAAGGAAAGCGCTGCTCAGAGAGGCAAGCGGCTTGCTCAAGCTCACACAGCCAGTGAGAGGTGATGGAGCTAGTCCTCGGCCTGACTTTTCCCGCCTCGAGGTCAACATGCAGAAGACCCTAGGTGTGAAAGAAGACCTAACACCTGCTAACGCCATTGGGCTCTCGCTCTGCGCCGGCCCCGTGGCTTCAATCTTCCCAAGGACCACCGCCCCCGCCCCCAAACATCAGGCAGGGGTGCCCGTTTTACAGAGAGGGAAACTGAGGCTCCGGGAAGCCAAGAGGCTAGCTAGGTCAGCCAGGTGGAGAGCGGCGGCGCTGGGACAGGACACCGACCGGAGCCCCACGAACGGGATCCCCGATTCAAAGAGACCGTATTTCCGGGCAGCAGAAGGCACACTCGCTGCTTGCTGGGCACTTTCACTGCCAGTTTCACATCGAACCAGCATTTCCCGGGCCTCGGGTCCGGGTGAAGTGGACCAGAGCTGGCGAGGGCCTGCTCGACGCCGCCCTGCCTCAGTTTCCCCTTCGCGCCGCCCACTCATAGTACCCAGCGGACCGCGGCGACCCCGGCCCCAGCCCCAGCCCCTCTTACGGGCCCTTGAACCCCGGGAGCTCCAAGCCGCGGACCCTAGGCCCTTCCGGATCAACGCCAAGCAACCCCCACTCACCTCTCAGGCGGCCAAACGCCGACCCGCCGACGGCTGCGCCTGCGCACCGCGGCGCTCTCCGGCCCCGCCCCCAGCCGCGACGCTTGCGCGGAAGGAGGTGGCTCCCTTTGGCTTTCATTCTGCGCAGGCGCGTCAATTATCGAGGCGGGCTTGGGGAGAAGTGACGTAATTTAGAGGTAGGGGCTAGCTCGTCGTTAGGGCAACTGACCTCTGCGACCGATTGGAGGCCGGAAATCAGGCTTGTCCTTCCCTCTCAAGCGGTAACGGAGCGGTGCATGGTGGGACAGTGGCGGACTCCCGCGCGTTTGGTAGAGCCGGTCACGTGGCACCGAGCCGGCCACGTGGTGTTGCTGTGTTTGGTATCTGGCGCCCAGAGCAGTACAGGCGGTCTGTGAACGTGATCGACTGTTAATCCGCTCTGTTTTACGTTTATTCACCCATCTATCCACCCGCGCAGCCACAAATGCATTCTTTCATTCATTCCATCCATAAGACGTAAAGGAATACAGATACATTTGTTTACAGCAGGTGCCTAGTAGTCAACAAATGTTTTGCAAAGCAACTATGAAAACCAGGAAAATGCTCTCGTTACGTCCTACTGGGGTTGATCAACTACAAACTAGTAAACTAGTACTAAAAACTAGCGCTCTTCGCTTGATAAAACGGCGTGCGGTGATTATGATTGGAGAGGTAATTTGACTGTGATGGTTAAGGAAGATCTATCTTTTAGATGAGGTTTTGGAGGTTGAGGCCAAAAATTCCAGGTAGGGGGTGCCTGGGTGGCTTAGCCGTTAGGCATCCCACTCTGGATTTCGGCTCAGGTCCTGATCTCATGGCTTCTGAGTTCAAGTCCCTAATCCGGCGCTGTGCTGACAGTACGGAGCCTGCTCCGGAGTCTGTCTCCCTCTCTCTTCCCCTCCCTCACTCGTGCGCTCTCCCTCCAAAATAAATAATAAACTTTTTTAAAAAAGCCTCCAGGTACGGATAACAGTGAAAAAGAAGATTAAGTAGGATAAAGCTTGCTGAGCTTAATAGAGGGTTTGGTGACGAAGTTCCCTAAGAGGACCCACAACTGACCGCTGTTAGTATTGAAGTTGCGGAAGTGTTCTAATTCACTTTTATCCTACTTAAAATGCATGCATGTTTAAAGCCCGGGAATTCTTTACTTTCTTTTGCAGAACTAAGGAGAGTGTGTTTTTTGGTCATTTTAGTTCTGGTGTATTTTTCTTCCTGGGCGCCTTAGTGCCAAGATTTCGTTGTTCGTTTTAATGGACAACAATAGTTACAGACCAGGATACTGCACCTTTTCAAAACAGCTGTTGTTTGAGCTCGTGGATTCATTTACTGAAGCTTTCTCGATTTTTTACAAAAGTGCCTTTAATGGATTCACCGGATTCTGCCGGTACACGTGCTGGAATCTGGGCAGGATGCTGGCTGGGATAATCTACCAAAGCGCCGAAGTCTGGTAAGGGATCCCTAACGTGAAGCCCTTAGGTGAAGGGAAAACCCACAAAAGTAGCCAAATACACAACTGTAAGACAGAAAGGAGGCAAGCAAAGATTAACACTGAAATTGGTGACCCAGGCAGCGAACTACTGGCAGAAAGAGCCGCACACACACTGGTTTCAAGGCAACCTCTGTGTGTGGTTTCCATGGAAACGTCCCTCCAGGGCTTCCCCGAAGGTTCCGCCCCCTCGCTGCGAGAGCCAATGACGGGCAGGGAGGGCTCCGGCGCGTGCGCTGAGTGAGATAGCTCGCCAAAGCCCCGCCGCGGTTGTGTGGGCGGAGCCGGGGCGCGCGTGCGCTCTGCTCCTCGGCACACGCGCCCTCCCAGCATTCAGCGGGCGCGCGGGCGGCGGGCACCTCCGTCCCGGCTGCTGAGGCCCCTGAGCTGACGGACGGGAGCGGCCGGCTGCGGCGGCTGAGGCGGACCGAGGCGGACCAGGTGGAGGGACGGATCGCCGGTGCACACCCGCCCGCCATGAAGCCCCCCGCAGGTACTGGCTGGCGCGAGGCGCAGCCCGCTCCCCGGACTCCGGCGTTCCCTCCAGCCTCCAGCCTCCCGGGGTCGCGACTTGGGCCTAGGACCCGAGCCCAGTGACCCTCGGGTGACTGGAGCCTGGCGGGGACGGGTCGGCGAGCCAGGGACCCCGCCCTCTCTGCCGCCGAATGAATGGACCGGCTTTCCTAGCGCTTCACTCATTCAGCAAACTCCAGGTCGCTGCTGCTAAGGGCGGGTCGGGCCCAGGGGGTCCGACTGGGGCGGGGGGGGGATGCCCCTGAGTTCTAGGCGGAGTCCCAGAGCTCCAGAGGCAGACGTTCAACCAGCAGGGAAGCAAGCGAGGGCTTTAAAGAGAGTGGTCGGTGGTGGGCTGAGGGCTGTCCTGAAGGGCTTCTCGGAGGCGGCGGCATATCAGCCTGGACCCAACGTGGAGAGCCGGCGGTGCCGCCAAGACCTGCGGGAGCCCGGTCCCAGGTGGCGGGAACTGCGAGGGTAACGCGTTTGCGTAGCAACAAGTCATTCTGGCTGTAGCATCGCCCTGTAAGGGCGAAAGGCCGCCGGTGGCCGGGGGTTCATTATGGGAGTGACAGGAGGCGCGTGGCGGGTTACAGGAAGTTGCCCGGCGGGCTGTGTGATGCCCCCTGGAGTTTTCTCCTGCGGGTCTGCCTCCCCCGCGTTCTTCTCCCCGCTGGCTTACGGTAGATCGTAATTCGGGTGCTGCGGGCTTGTTCGCTTGGAGACCGAGTGCGGAGGTGGGGTCTGGAGATACTACCGAACGAGCGCAACTTCGAATCCCAGCGGCCTCCAGATTTCCCGAGCCTCTGGAGCCCTGGGCTCCCAGTTAACCCAGACCCACGGGTCTCTGCGGTTCCGCAGGCAGAAGGGTTTTCCCCCAGCGCCAGCGGTCAGGTGGCCGGAGTACCACCCTGTCTTGGCTTAAGAGACTTTTTCCCGCTTAGCCAATGTCAGTGGTCCTCAGCTGGGCTGAAAATGCCTCCCCAGGTGACACTGGGCAATGTCTGGGGACATCTGTGGTGGTCAGGCCTGGGGGTGCTCCTGGCATTGAATGCATGGGCGCCAGGGGGCCGTTCAACACCAGATGGTGCCCAGGGTGGCCCCCACCGCAGAGAGTGATGTTGATGATGCTGTTAAAAGCCCTGTCCTAGGAATGCCAAACACAGCACCCTGCGTGGGGCCGTCCCCCTTTGCCTGGACCACCGTGGCCCTGCGCCACTCCCCGCCATGCGGGAAGGGGAAATGGGGCACAGGTGGGCGCTCACACAGGACAGGCCTCTTTTTGGTAACTCAACAAGGGACCGGGGGCGGGCGTAGCCATCTGAGCTACCCACAGGTACTACAGGGATGTCGGCGGGACGTCCGAGAAAGGAAGACTGGCAGGGGCGGGGCTCTTGGCGAGGGGGCAACCCGTGGGAGGGCCTGGGAGATGCCGTGAAGAAAGCCAGCGTGTCTGGGCACAGGGAAGTTGGCAAAACCAACTGGCCAAACCTGCCGCGCGGGGCCCAGTGGAGCCGGGACGATGTAGACCAGGGGGCAGCCGAGCGGTCTGTGAAGGGTTGGTTAGTTTAGGCTTGGCAGGTCACTCACCCAGCCTCCTGTCTCGTCACCTTTACCTGTGGGCTGTCCGGGGACAGATTCTGCCAGCCCCCGGTGTAGACTCTAGTGAGGGTTGGACTGTCATCCTGAGTGCAGGGTGGAGTTCTGGGACGGGAAGGGGCAGCACCACCTGCAAACCAGGTGTTTACAAAGGTAGGGGTGCACGCCCTTCACCAGTTCCCAGCGTCAGAGCTGAAGTCTGACCGCACGGGCTGGAGCCCCACCTCTGCTGCTTGCTGAGTGGGACCACTGCTGGAGACTTGCATTCTCCAAATCTCCGGGCCCCATCTGTAAAATGGGGCCACGTGGGACCCAGAGCCCAGAACTGAGAATTCAGTGAGGGAATGAAAGCGAAACACCCTGACCCTGCACACCACACAGCAGCTTCCTGACAGCCGTTGTTCTCGACCAGAATCCCTTATCCAGAAATTCTCGGCGCTGGGGATGCTTCAGGACTTGGGAATTTCCCCTGTTAGGAAAGAAATACTGTACAAGTGTCACAGTACATCAAAGGGCTCCGGGGGTAGCACCCCACAATCAAATTAACCCGAGAAGTGCAGGTGTGTGCCACTCATCCACCCCAGCGCTGCCTGTGTCGGGGCTGGGGCGTCGTGGGGTGTCCTGGGCGCTTGGCGGTGTTGAGCAGCATCCCCGGAGGCCACCCGGTGTCTCCCCGGGGTGCGGAATCTCCATCTGCTTTAGAGGATCCATCAGCCCGTCACCCCCATAGAGCCCCGGGCCTTGTCGACCTGCACGGGGAAACGGTGCTCCTGGCCTTGCCCTCCAGTCCCTAGTTACTCCAACCCCAATTCTGCCCTTGAAGCAGACACATTCAGTGTGGCTTCCTGTCTTCTCTGTCCAGCCTGTGCCGGAGATGCCGTGGACACGGCGGCCCCGTGCTCCGTGGTGAACTACCTGCGGTGGGACCTGAGCGCCCAGCAGATAGAGGAGCTCACCGTGGAGCTCATCGAGCAGACCAAGCGTGTGTATGACCAGGTGGGCTCCCAGAAGTTTGAAGACGTGTCCTACGAGAGTACCCTCAAGGCGCTGGCGGACGTGGAGGTGTCCTACACAGGTAGATCCAGGCCAGGACCTGGCAGGGGGCAGGGGGCAGAAGCGGCCCCAGCCGTGGGTGAGGCCACCTACTCCCCAGGGGGCGCTGGTGGATAAAGGAGCCGACTAGGGGTAAAGGACCCCCTGGCCAGGGGCAGCCCGAGGGCCCGTTCTCCTCCGGGCCCCACTTCATTCCCGGCCTGGCATACTTAGTTGTGGGCAGGGTCACCTGAGGGCCCGAGCCGGACAGCACGAGTGACCGCTCTCCTCTCCAGGAGTCAGCTCGGATGCCGGCCTCGAAACCAGAGCCCTTTCTCACACCTTTCATGTCCCAGGAGATCTTTGTTTTCTCTCTTTGTGACTGAACTTGGCCTCCTTTGCTTGTCTTCTCCCCGCTGCCTCCCCCGGTGCTTTGGGTTACCTGATGCCATCAGGTGTCCTCATCGCCACCCACCTGGATCCTTGTCTCCTCCTTGGGGTCTGTTTGCTCCTTTCGTGAGTGAGGGACACGTAGGTACAGCCCTGCTTCCCTGAGCCCGTGTGTGGAGGTTGATGGCATGGGGACAGAAGACCGAGCAGTCTCGCTATGGAGAGTCTGAGCCCCGGGCCTCTAGAAGTCCTTTCCCAGGGAGCGTTTGGGAATCGCCACCGCGGTTTTCTCCAGAACACTCCCTGCACCAGGCTTGCCAGGTTGCTCGGGCTGCTCTGCCTTCAGGCGGGGGTGCCTCAGTCTCCCCTTCTTGTCTCTTTCCAAAGAGGCTCTGGGCACTGCCTGATGCTAATTCCTGCTTACTGGGCGTGGCCCTGCCAGACGTCACTTGGCCTCCCCCCACCTCGGTCCTGCAGGCTTCACCCCCCTCCCCCCCCCGCAAGGAATTTTAAAGGAAACTAAGATTGAATTACAACACTCCCCTCAGCCAACCCCTCTGTCTTCCCACTGCCCTCTGGGTGAAGGCCAGAGGCCTTGATGTTGCTTTCGGTGCTCTGCACCGTCCCCTCTCTGACCCACCTCTGCGCTGTGTGTGCCTGGCCATGTGGCCGCTTGCAGTTGCTCACACTGTCCTGTCTCAGGGCTTCCTGCGCCCCTGCTTTGCAGGGTGTTGGGCTTCTCTGTGATAACGGATTAACTCTCCTCGGGAGCCCCTGCCCACACCCCTTCTGCTCACACAGCTGCCTGCACTGATCTGACAGTGTGCTCTATTTTGTTGTCACGCTTGCTGCGATCACAGGCACTTGTGACCCTGTAAATCGCAGACAGACAGATACGGTTTCTGTTCTTTTCACTGTCCTCTCCCGGGCAGCCGGTAGGAAGCCTGCCCTGGGGCCCCAGGAGTGACAAAGAGGGGTGTTTGAATGCAGGTCTTTCCCATTCAGAGCCTGTGCTTTTTAAGATTTAAATGTTCTGTTGAGATCTAATTTATAGATCTAACGATTTATTCACTTGAAGCCATACATTTCAATGGTTTTTATATTCAGAGTTATTCAGCCATCACCATGTTCTATTTCTAGAGCGTTCCATCACCCCAGAGGGAAATCCTGTCCCCATTAGCAGTCACTCCCCATCCCTTCCTCAGCCCCCAGCACACCCACGAGCCCTTTCCTGTCTGTGGATGAGCCTGTTCTGGACGTTGCTCGCATCTCGACTCACAACACCTCATGTCTGGTTCCCTCCCTGAGCGTCATGTGTTCAGGGTCTGACCATGGGGCAGCGGGTGTGGGCGCCTCGCTCCTGCTCTCGCAACCAAGTGACGTGCTGTGCCTGCCAGACGTGTGTATCCATCCACTTTTTGTTGGATATTTGGGCCATCTCTGCTATTGGCTATTACTGGTCCCGCTGCTGTGCACGTGTGTGTGTCTGTGTGATCGCGTGTTCTCCTTTCACGAGGGTGGGTGCTTGAGAGTCGGGTACTGGGTCAGGCGATAACCGTTAAAGCTGATGCTCTTTCAGGTGCTCGGATGGCTCAACTGGTTAACCATCCAACTCTGGATTTCAGCTCAGGTCATGATCTTGCGGTTCATGAGATCAAGCTGAGCACAGAGCCTGCTTGGGATTCTCCCTCTCCCTCCTTTTCTGCCCCTCTTTCACCTGCATCTATGCTCTTTCTTTCTCAAAATAAAGAAGCTTAAAAAGAATTCTTAGGGGCCCCTGGGTGGCTTAGTTGGTTGAGCATCCGACTTCAGCTCAAGTCACGATCTCATGTTGTGGGTTCGGGCCCCGTGTTGGGCTCTGTGCTGACAGCTCGGAGCGTGGAGCCTGCTTCGGATTCTGTGTCTCCCTTTCTCTCTGACCCTCCCCCACTGGTGCTCTGTCTCTCTCTGTCTCAAAAATAAATAAAGCAAACAAACAAAAAAATTTTTTTTTAAGTAGAAAATCATTTATGAATTTAAAATACTGTTGTCAGTGGCTGTGGCTTTCCTGGACTGGAGCCACTGGAGCCTCACGATCTTGTCACACTCCTTTGTTATGGTCCTTCTTGGACCTTGGAGTATTGGGAGTTGAGTCTGCTTCCGTTGGCCTGTGAGGTCCCCAAGGACATGGTGACAGTGCTCCTTTCTTCCAGTGCCCGCCCCAGGGCTCAGCGTGGAGAGGGTTCACTGAACAAGGAGACACATGTGGACAGGCTATGTGCCCAGCAGGGGTGAGGTAGGTACTTGCTGGATTCTACCCGGGGCCCATTTTCACACCTGTCCTATCTCCCTGTTTCAGTTCAGAGGAATATCCTTGATTTCCCCCAGCATGTTTCTCCATCCAAGGACATTCGGACGGCCAGCACGGAGGCGGACAAAAAGCTGTCTGAATTTGACGTGGAGATGAGCATGCGGCAGGATGTTTACCAGAGGATCGTCTGGCTGCAGGTGAGGGGCAGCGACAAGCCCTGCGTCCGCTCGGCCCCGCGACCAGGCCTGCTAGAGGCGGAGGAACTGGTGGGGGACAGACCGGTGTCTGGGTGGTCAGAACCTCTCTAGATGTGATTGTTCTGTTCCTCAGAAGGTAGAGAGCTGAGGAGCCCTGGGGGTGGCTGGAGGGCATCGCTGAGTGACTGAGTGTACTTACCGCCACTGAGCCATGTGCTTAACAGTGGCTAAGGTGGTAAGTTTCATGTTGTATTTTACCATGATAAAAACCGTGGAAAAATTGACAGATGTGGAGAGGGATGGAAAATAGAATATAAAATGCCTAGGAGTTTTCTTTTAACGTATGTTTAGTTTGAGAGACCAAGCACATGTGCACAAATGGGGGAGGGGCAGAGAGAGAGAGGAGATCCCAAGTAAGCTCTTCGAGGTCAGCAGAGAGCCCAATATGGGGCTCAAACTACGAACCGCGAGATCATGGGCTGAGCTGAAACCAAGAGTCAGATGCCTAACTGCCCGCACCCGCATGCCCTGTGCCAGAGACTTTCTAGGCCTTCCATCCTCCCAGCACCTCCTTTCCTTGCTGGGTGCCCCGAAGGGCTATTGTCCTGCCTCCTGGGCCACGGCTGCTGATGTCAGAGGAGGACAAAGATGCTTCTCTGCTCATTCTTGTAGCACCTGCTGCCGCGTCCCCTTGGCATCAGGAAGGCACACGAGTGTGCTTTGGGGCACGGACACGCAGGTGGCCTGTGGAAGTGCAGGTGGTTATCTTGTATTTAATTGTAGTTTCAAGACCTTTCCAGGTAGACATGCGGCTGGAGGAAATAGCTCGAAGAGCACCTGTCTGTACTTTGCCTGGTTTCCCCCATGTAACATGTTGCAGAACTGGTCAGTGTCACAGCCGGGTTGTTGACCTTGATGCAACACAGCAGACTCATTCCCGTTTAACCCTTCACCTGGGAAGGGACTCTGGGCTGGTTCCCGTAGGCGGTTGTGAGCAGGTGTCACGTGACCACGGTCGTCCTCTAGGGTGAATGTCCGGAGGGCAACTGCGGAGCCGGTGGTAGTTGTAGGCTCTCCCCTGCGTGACCCAGCGTCCCTGATGCTTCACCACCATCCGACAGTGTCATGGCTTTTCATTATAAACACAGCTTTGATTTTCTTACTCTAGGAAAAAGTCCAGAAGGACTCGCTGAGGCCAGAGGCAATGCGGTACCTGGAGCGCCTGGTCAAGCTGGGCAGAAGGAACGGGCTTCACCTGCCTGAAGACACTCAAGAGGTGATGCCAGCTGGCGGGGGGGAGGGGGGGGCGCTGTGATCGCGTGCGCCGCCTGAGGCCTGGTGCCCGTCTCTGCTGCCTCAGTTCTGGGCAGGGAGGTCCATGTGAATAGCTCTCTCTCTGCACCTGTTCTGCCCTGGATTCTCCAGGCTCCTGGTGAGGCTTTCCTGAGAGCATGGCGCTCCCTCGGCCGCGGGGAGAGCGCACGGGGCGCGTGGCAGGCCTCAGTGGGTCCTCTCCGTGACTTGGGAGCGATGGCAGTAAGGACGAGCTTGCTCTGGCTGTGGGGCTCCTGTTCTCAGGACTCTGCTGCAACAGCATGGCTTCCTCCTGACACCAGCTGTGGGGGTGCCCTCACCACACGGTCCTCTGTGACACCAGCACTGTGTTCTGACCCCGTGTCCCCGGAGGTAGTGAGTGTCAGATCCCACAGCGTCAGGGCCTCGAGGGCCACCTTGACCTGAGGCACTGGCCGCAAGTCCAGGGTGTCACCTGGTTCTCACCGACTAGCACCCCTTCTTCAGGTTTAATTCATTTGCCGGAGTGGCTCAGAGAACTCAGGGAAAGCTTACTTGCTCTCATCCGTCTATTGTGAAGGGTGCCGCCTAGAATGGCCAGATGGGGGAGACGCACAGGACACGGTAAGGGGGGCCACGGGGCCGCTGTGCCCCCACGTGCACTCCACTCATGGCCACCTCCACGTGTTCGCCAGCTGGAAACTCCCTGAACCCTGTGCCTTAGGGGCTCTGTAGTGGCCTTTTCACCTCAGCCCGACTGGTCATAGCGTCGGTGATGGACTCGGCCCGCCACCTCCCTCGGTAGGCAGGAGAGGCTTCCCCGGCCACCAGTCCCCCATCCTAGGGGCTTTCCAAAGGTGTCTCATTAGTATGCACTCAAGTGTGGTGGAAAGGGGCTGGTGAGACAGTGGTCCCCATACCTTGTCACTAGAGCTATTTCAGTCTCATGTTGTCACTTAAGAAATTCCAAGGGTTCAGGAGCTGTGTGCCAGGAATAGGGACGAGGACCTCATCCGAGTTGCTCATCAAAGGCCCCAGTCATAGACGGTGTCGCCTGCATTCCTGCCTGGGGCAGAGGGCGTCCTGTGGCCAATCACAGGGGTCTCAGTCCGCCCCACTCCCTTCCCATTTTCTCTGAGGGCTCCGCAGCCACACAGAGGGGATGGCCGGGGCTGGGGCTCTGGACTGGCTGGTTTGCACACGAGGCACACGTATGGGTGAGCTGGGTACCATCCCCTGGAACTGGCCACCCTTAGGAGAGGCCCTCCCTGCGGGCTCAGCGAGGCCCCCGGTATGAAAGCACAGGAAATGAGACACAGTGAACGCACATACCCTGTCCACATCGGAGCTAGTAAGCATCTCTTGTCCCTTAGAACTGACTCTGCCTTCTGGTTGGAGAATCAGGGAAATGAGGCATACTTGTCATTGAAACCAAACGTAAGGCTTGAGTCCAGTCCCATCTCGGAACCGTGGGGTCCAGAATCCAGTGTGGTATCTCAGCTTCTGCGGGTGCAGATGCTGAACTCGGCCAGAGCGACAAGAACACTGTTGTAATATTTTTTTTTCTTAAGTAAACTTTACTCCCGAGAGTAAAAGCTTGAACCTTTACCCTTGAACCCCCACGACCCCGAGACCAAGACTAGCATGCTCTTCCCATGGAGCCGGCCAGGCGCCTACAGGGTTGTTCTTAAAGCTCGGTCATTAGGTTGTCGAAAGTCCTGACTGACTTGAGGGCTGCTGTACTGGGAAGGACATGGGCTGGGTGGGGACCCTGAAGCCGAGCCTTGTTCCCTGGGGCACGAGCAGTTTTCATGCCTTAGAAGCTTGATTGGCATGGCTGCATGTGGTTTTGTGAGGCTTTGGCGAGATCAGGAAGTAAGTGGGAGCTCCCAGCACAGGGTCATGGCCAGGGGAGGCTCAGGGCACCCATGTGGGCTGGTTCTGAGACCAGTTCTCTCCCGAGGAGCCCCCAGTGCCCTGCACCGCTGTCAGGCTCACTAGCCCTGCACCGAGCAGCTGCTGTGAAGCCTGGGGCCTGAGCTGGGCTCCAGGGCCCCCCTGAGGCAGTCGTGGGCGGGCGTTGTGGTCCAGGACAGCACCCTCTTCATCAGAGTTTTCTCCCTGAGACTTAGCCTTGCTGCTCTGTCAGAATGTCCAAAAGCCTAAGCTGTGGACCTTGAAGGAAATAGGGTCCAGAAGGCCCTTGACCAGGGACATGCAACAGATGGGACACAAGCCAGAGGTCTCCGGGGTCACCGAGGCCACTTGGCATGGCAGGCGGGTGTCTGGGTTCTGTTGGCGCCGTGCAGACCCCTCTGCCCACTTCACCCCCTTCTCCCTGTGATGGGGGAGCCCCCAGCCCCAGAGGCCATGCCCCTCACGCCTGTGCTCCTCCCACCAGAAAATCAAGAGCATCAAGAAGAAGCTGAGTCTTCTGTGCATTGACTTCAACAAGAACCTGAACGAGGACACGACCTTCCTGCCACTCACTCGAGAGGAGCTGGGTATGGGCCAGGGGCGTGTGGCGGGGTGCGGCGCTCACCTCCCACAGCCTTCCCACATGTGGGGGGCATTTGTGTCCCACTGCCCTGGGGGTGGGTTTCTTCACTTGGAGCGCTCAGCACTTTGGAATCCTACGTTTCTAGGTCCTTCTTGGGCAGCGGCAGGAGCCCTGGGTTAGGCCGCGGAGGTCTCCTGCTGCTCTTCTCGCTGTAACCTTCCGGGGAGGGGCTGGCCTACGTCCTGGCTGACTGCTGCTCCCAAATCCACTGGACACGGGCTTTTTGAAGGGAAAGTTTAGTTTTTACTTTTCTCCCCTCTTTCCCCAAATGTCTAGCTTTGAAAGGTCTCACAGCTGGGGGAAAGTTGCAGGAGCGGCAGAGCAGGAAGCCTGTGTACGTGGTCCGTGTGCCGGCCGCCAGCGGACATCGCACGTTCTGTCCGTGTTTTCGTGTTACTGTGCACGCATCCTGTCCTCCATCAGACCCTTATCTGCAGCCTCGTGAGCCTTCCTGGGAGTGAGGCCGTCCTCGGCCCCTCGGGGCACGTCTTGCACTCCGGAGGCGGAGCCCTGAACAGCAGTGTCCTAGAGACCCAGCCGGGTTCCCTACTCTGCTGTCCCCAGGACACGCCTTGTTGTTTGTTTATTTTTGAGAAGCAGGGTGAGTGGGGGAGGGGCAGAGAGAGAGGGAGTCACAGAATCTGAAGCAGCTCCAGGCTCTAGCTGTCAGCACAGAGCCTGACACAGGGCTCGAACCCAAAAACCGCGAGAACATGACCCAAGCAAAAGTCAGACGCTTAACTCATGGAGCCCCCCAGGCTCCCCCCAGGCGCCTGTATTTGCCTCCCAGTCACGGAGCATCCTGTGTTTATAGGTCCCTTTCTTGTCGAACTGCTTCTCAGCCTTTCACAGGAGTGTTTTCTTCCACCTTTCCTGCGGTGGGCGCCTCTGAAGAGCGCAGGCTGGCGGGCTTGCCGAGGCCGAGGAGGGGCCCTGCCAGCGGCTTGGGGGCCGGGTTTCCAGTGGCCCCGGAGCGCCCATCTCAGGCATGGGGGGCCGGGGCCTCGGCTTCGCTGCCAGAGGCCCCCGAGGGCGGCTTGCTCGCAGAGATGCCACAGATTCGAGTCCCCTAAACGGGGGCTCGCAGGTCCATCGGCGCTGCCCTTCACTCTGGTTCAGTCTGTCCTGGGGCCTCGGGCAGCAAGTCCCCCCATGTGGGCCCCACGGCTAAGGACGGAAGGAAGCCAGAGGAAGGTCCTGGGTCTCTGGAATTGGGCAGACGAATCTGCTCACCCACATCATCGCCTGGGCCGGCTTCTCCGCGCATTTGTCCAGCCCGAGGGGCCCCACCGTGTCAGCCCGGCCTCCCACGTAGGCAGCCCGGAGCCCCAGTGAACCCCAGGCTTGGCGCTTGTTTTCTTCCAGTTGCTGAAGGAGAGTCAGTGTTCGGTTACAAGGACGCGCCCCTCTCTTTATCCCCCTCCCCCCTCCTCGAGTCTCAGGTGCTCTCAGTGCTCACAGGTCCCTGCTGCTGCTCACGACCCACCTTCTGACCCCGTCCTTCCTTGTGTTTGTCCCTCTCACGTCAGCTTTCCCTCCCCCATGTGCTAGATTTATCAGCAGGCGCCACTGTGGACAGGGCCCCTCACTCAGCGGGTTGGGGTCCGCCGCTGTCTCCATTTGTCTCGGTGTGACCGCGAGAGCCCCTCCCACTGGAGGCGTCCCCGTGTTTCTCTGAGCACCTTCTTTGGGACGTGTGCTCCAGGCCGTTTGGTCCTCGCCCTGCCTGTGCCTAGACGCAGCCCGGGGTGCCGGCGTGCTCACCGCCCCCAGGCCCCGTGGCACAGTCACAAATGGGCATCTGCATGCGTGCGTTCACACGCCGAGCCTGGAAAGCTGTGACCTCCCCAACCGTGCCCTGCCCGGCACTGCCCACCCTGCCCCAGCATGTCCGTTCCCACCTGTACTGAGGTGAGGGCCCCGCCTGGCCGCGAAGGAGGTGTAGGCAGGTCAGAGCCGGGCGTGTGAGCCGTGGCTCCTGGAGGTGTTCAGTCTGAGCTGCAGGAGGTTGGGGGGAGGCTGTTGAAGAAATGTGGCCTCCGGGATGGTGAGGGCCACAGAGGGCATCTGTCTTCTGCTGGTGACGCTGTCCAGGGAGGGCGAGGGGAGAGGCTGCGGCCCCCGAAAACCTCTCTGTCCAGGGTTGAGCCGAGGGGAGCTGTTCCTGGGAGCCTGGCGGGAGATGGCAGCGGCCCGTCTCCCTGGAGGGCGCAGGGCGGGGTGGGGAGGGGAGGCCGGGCCCGGCGCCTGGCAGCCTGTGGGGCCTCCGGCAGCCCTGCTCGTGTCCCTGCAGGAGGGCTCCCGGACGACTTTTTGAATTCGCTGGAGAAGGTCGGGGAAGACAAGCTGAAAGTCACCCTCAAGTACCCCCACTACTTTCCCCTCCTGAAGAAGTGCCACGTGCCGGAGACCAGAAGGAAGGTGGAGGAGGCCTTCAACTGCCGGTGCAAGCAGGTGCGAAGGTGGCGCCCGGGAGTCGCCAGGCCTGTGCTCCGTGCCCAGTGCCCACGGGGCCTTACGTTTGCTCGTCCCCGTGTCCGGTGGTGCTGCCCGGGCTCGAGCACCACTGTTCTGTCTTGTGTGGTGGCCCGGGCCCTCGAGCTGCTGCGGCCCTGGGCGTGCCTTCGCCGCTCAGACACCCGTTCCCACACGGACACTTGGGTTTGTGGCCTCACCCCGCCGTGGCCTCGGCCTCGCTTCTCCTGCTCAGGGTCTGCAGCAGGTGATGAGGGCCCTTGGTTCTCCGTGTGCACACAGGGGTCAGGAGCTGCCAGCTAGAGGCTGAGCTCCTTGCAGGGTGAGAGGGAAGCGTGTGGTCAGGTCCCATATTCCCCACTTCCCAGGAGTCAAGACCAAGTAAACTGGTCTTAAGGAAACTCCGTGCGTTCAGATCGCCCCCCACAGACTGAGATGAGGACCTGGAGAAGGAGCTCACACGGGCAGGGGCTTTGGGAGTGGGGGTGGCTCGTGGAAGAGCCAGGAATTCAGGCTCTGGTGGGGATGTGCCGCTTCTAGGGTGTCGGGAGTGACTTTATAGTGTTGAGAGCGGAGCCCGCGGGCCTGTGGTCAGGACTGGTGGGGTTGGCATCGCCTCGTCCTGCTGCCCGGCCGGCCCCAGCCCCCACCCTGAGAGGCAGAGCAAGGGGCGGGTGGGGGCTCCGGGGGACCTGGCGTGTCGTCTGGTGCCGTGGGGATGGCGATGCTGGTGGGTTGCCCTGAGTCCCCCTCGTCAGGAAGGTCTTTACCCAACTTTCAGTGGCTGGACCAGGCTGGGGGAGCATTCTGTTCTTTGGGGGAGAGGGAGGCAAGGGGGGTAAGGGGCAGAAGCAGAGGGAGGGAGACAGAATCCCAAGCAGGGGCCGCACCATCAGTGCAAAGCCCTATGCAAGGCTTGAACTCACGAACCTGAGATCGTGACCTGCGCCGAATCAAGTGTCGGACGCTTACCCAACAGCTACCAGGCACCCCGAGAGCACCGTGTTCTGCACGGCCCTCTTTCCCTTGGAAACAAATCATGTATGGGTTTCATTTCATGTTGGTCCCGTGAGTTTGGCTGGGTCTGCCCCTCAGAGATGCCTGGGGACAGGCCTGGCTGTGCATGGCGCCCCCGGGGCTCTCCGCTCACGGCCTCAGAACCCCTCACAGTGTATGTTCTTTCTGGGCCCAGATGAGACCCGAGGGTTCGTAGAGACACCGTGTTAGGGCAGGGCCACATGGGAGGCACAGAAATTGAGGCCGGAGGAGGGGGGGGGGGAAACGAGCCAGCCGGGTCCTGGCGGTCCAGAAACGTGCTGACCACGGGGCCTGAGTGGGAGTGGTGGGTCCGACGGCCACAGAGCTGGTCGCTGGTCGGTTCCAGGAGAACTGTGCGATCCTCAGAGAGCTGGTGACCCTGCGGGCCCAGAAGTCCAGCCTGCTGGGGTTCAGCACGCACGCCGACTACGTCCTGGAGATGAACATGGCTAAGAGCAGCCAGGTGGTGGCCACGTTCCTGGGTAAGCCCTTGCCTCCCCCACCTCCCCCCTTGGGTTCTGGGATCGGGTTCCGGTGGTTCTCGACTGCAACGTGCAGGCGCCTTGGAGACCCGTGTCCTGTCACCCCAGAGGGAATCCCAGCACCTCCCCAGCCCTGTTCAGCCTCGAGGGCCCCCAGCCCGACAGCCCAGCATGGAGCTCTGGGGTGAGGCTGTGTCCGCCCTCCTCTGCGGCTTCCTGGCCTGAGGTCTGGGCCAGCGTCCCCGCTGTGGCCGTCCTCTCCCACTCGTGGACGAGGCAGAGCCAACCCGACCCCACCCCACCCCCACCCCGCCCCAGCTGCAGAGGCCAGCGCGTCGCCCGTGTGTCTGCAGCCCGGGCCTTCCTCCTGGGTGGGGTGCGGGGGCCATCGTGCCGGGGCCCGGGGCTGCCGGGGGCGGTCGCCGCAAGAGGTAGCCTTGCCTTCCTCTCTTCCCTCCCCAGACGAGTTGGCCCAGAAGCTGAAGCCCCTCGGGGAGCAGGAGCGGGCCGTGATCCTGGAGCTGAAGAAGGCCGAATGCGAGAAGCGGGGCCTGGACTTCGACGGGCGCATCAACGCGTGGGACATGCGCTACTACATGAACCAGGTGGAGGAGACGCGCTACAGCGTGGACCAGAACCTCCTCAAGGAGTACTTCCCCATGCAGGTGGTCACCAAGGGGCTGCTCAGCATCTACCAGGAGCTGCTGGGGCTGACCTTCGACCTGGAGGAGGACGCCCCCGCGTGGCACGAAGACGTGAGGCTGTACTGCGTGAGGGACGCGGCCTCAGGGAAGGTCATCGGGAAGTTCTACCTGGACCTCTACCCGAGGTGCGTGTGAGCTGGGCGACCCTTCTCTGAGCCTCAGCGTTTCCATCTGTGCAATGGGTTGTGTGTCCGCCACCGCGCGGGGCCAGGTGAGGGGCCGGGAACGTTCCCTGTCCAGGGAGGCGGGAGGGTGCCCGGGAGGTTCTGCCCGAGGGGTGGGACGGGTGGTGGGGCAGAACCCCTGCTGCTGAGAAGAAAGCTCGAGCCACTCGATCTGTCCAGTGGCCTGGGTGGGTGAGGGGCTGCAGAGTCAGAGTGGCGCAGTCGGGGCTCTCATGGGGTCACCAGCCCTCTGGGCCAGTCGGGGGGTAGAGTAGGTCCCTGGCCGGGCCTGACCCTGCCTCCCTCCGCAGGGAAGGGAAGTACGGGCACGCGGCCTGCTTTGGCTTGCAGCCAGGCTGCCTGAGGCCGGACGGGAGCCGCCAGATCGCCATCGCGGCCATGGTGGCCAACTTCACCAAGCCCACCCCGGCCGCCCCCTCCCTGCTGCAGCACGACGAGGTGGAGACCTACTTCCACGAGTTTGGGCACGTGATGCACCAGCTCTGCTCCCAGGTGGGTGCGGGGGGGCACAGGGGCGGGGTGGGGGCGGTGCTGGTCAGCAGGTCTGCTCTCAGGTGGGTGTGGGTGGGGGTGGGGCGGTGCTGGTCAGCGTATCTAGAGGCAGCCCCCCCCGCCCCCTTCATGGAGTCTTCAGCGGGTGTCCCCACGCCCACAGTAATGCCCTGCTGTGCCACTTTCCAGCATGGAGCCGTACATCCGGCCGGCTTTTTGGGGAGAAGCTTGTGTTCCCCCAGGGCCGGGGCTTGGGGGTCTGACATTATGAGTCCAAGGCCCAGTCCTCGTGAGGCCGCTGTCCTCAGTGTGCAGACAGCTGTCTTCTCCCCGTGTCCTCCCAGGGTCGTTTCCCTGTGCACGTCTGTGGCCTCCCCTCTCTCTATTTTTTAATCTTTATTTGTTTTGAGAGAGAGAGTGTGAGCTTATGCACAAATGGGGGATGGAGGGCAGAGAGAGAGAATCCCAAGGAGGCTCTGAGCTGTCAGTTCAGAGCCCGACGTAGGGCTTGATCCCATGAAGTCATGACCTCAGCCAAAATCAAGAGTTGGACGCTTAACCGACTGAGCCAGCCAGGTGCCTCCCTCCTTATAAGGACACTGGTCATTGGATTAGGGCCACCCCAGTGACGTCATTTTAAGTCAAATATTTCAGTGGTTGTTAGTTCACCAAGATGTAGAGCTGCCAACCAGATGTTTTGGGACATTTCAGTCTTCCAGAAAGAGTCATGTCCCTTAGTTGTCCCCGGCCCTCACGAGCCCCTTCCGTCCACGGATGAGCGTGTCCTGGACGCGTCACGCACGTGGACTCACACCCCACGTGGCCTCCCGTGTCTGGTTCCCTCCCTGAGCGTCATGTGTTCAGGGTATGTCCGCAGGGCGGTGGGTGTGGGCGCCTCGCTCCTGCTCGCGGCCGAGGGACTTGCACGCGAGTGGGTGGAGCTCTGAGAAGTATCTTTTGAACAGTTTTGACTATTGCGTTCAGTGCTTTTTCTCTTCTACAGTTTGCACTTTGTGTCTTGTTGAAGAAATCATTTTCTAACTCAAGATGCTAATTTTGTCTCCTAGTTTTCTAGAAGTTTCAGCTTTGACTGTTTGTGTTGGTCTGTCATCGTCTGTGAGTTAAGTGTTGTCTGTGGTGACAGGTTGCAGGCCGGCCCTCACCTGCCGGCAGCCACCTGGGGCGGAGCCAGCGTCTACACAGCACTAGCCGCGTGCGCCCCGGGCTCCCTGTCAGCCCTGCTCTTGCCACCTCTTCCCGCCCCTGCGCTGTACTCTCACGGGTTGTTCCCCAAACCCGGGACTCTCGTGGCTCCCGCATCTCCTTCAGCTTTTCCTCAGACGCGTTACCGCCATTCCCAGAGCGTATAAACGCTAGAACACGGAGTTCGCGGACACCAAGGCTCCTGGCGGAACACACAGTGAGGCCCCTGCGGGCCTCTGGTCGCGACCCGCCAATATGTGACCTTGTGTCATGTGCGTTTCTGTTGAAAGACACCTTTTCTGCGTATCGTTGACGTAACACTCAACCCCCGGCCAGCGGTGCTGTGGCTCGTGCCTGAAGGAAGCGCCTCTGACCCGCGTGCTCTCTGTGCACGTCACAGCCTTGCACTCAGGAGCGCCAGACAGCGCTTCCGTCCCAAACAGATCATCTGTAGAAACAAAAATACAAATAAAAGGGAGCGGGGGCTCTCAGTAGTCGATGACAAGGACCCCGGTTTACAGTCAGAACTGAAACCCAAAGGCAGAGCGTCCAACGGTCACAGGGCGCCATAGGTGTTGGGTTTGGGTTAAAAAGTTGAGCAAGTAGGGGCGCCTGGGTGGCTCGGTTGAGCGTCCGACTTCGGCCCAGGTCATGATCTCATAGTTCGTGGGTTTGAGCCTCACATCGGGCTCTGTGCTGACAGCTCAGAGCCTGGAGCCTGTTTTGGATTCTGTGCGTGTCTCTTTCTGCCCCTCCCCTCCTCACACATTGTTTCTCTTCTCTTTCAAAACTAAACAAATATTAACGACAACAAGAATGTTTAGCAAGGAGGGAGTCCGTGAGTAACGAGGCCAGCATGTGTCTTCCCTGGTCTCCCGCCATTTTCCTGCCTCTCTCTCTGGGCCTGGAAGGGACTTGCCCAAGGCCCCCTGTCAGCCAGGCTTCGAGGCCTCAGGCAGCGGCTGTCGGCTCACCCTGGTGTGCTTGTCAGGGGCGCCCTGCGTGCCCACGTGGCCGGGCAGGTCCGGACCTTCCTCGGCTTTGTCCCCCGTGCAGGCGGAGTTCGCCATGTTCAGCGGGACACACGTGGAGCGGGACTTCGTGGAGGCGCCTTCGCAGATGCTGGAGAACTGGGTGTGGGAGAAGGAGCCACTGCTCAGGATGTCCCAGCACTACAGGACGGGCAGCGCCATCCCCCAGGAGCTGCTCGACAAGCTCATCAAGTCCCGGCAGGCCAACACAGGTGCCCGTGGGGGCTGCCCTCCTGTCCCGGGCCTCCGGGGGCGGGGCGGGGGGGGGCAGCTGCACCGCACCCAGAGGAGGCAGGCGTGCGCCACCTGGGCAGGAGCCCAGAGCCAGCCTCCCGCTCTCCTTCGCCCACCAGGTCTCTTCAACCTGCGCCAGATCGTCCTGGCCAAAGTGGACCAGGCCCTGCACACCCAGCCCATCGCAGACCCAGCTGAGGAATACGCCCACCTCTGCCGGGAGATCCTCGGGGTCCCGGCCACGCCAGGTAGCCGCTCGCCAGCTGCGTCCACCTCGGGGCTTGGGGCTCAGCCATTCCCGCGTCGGAAGGATCTAGTGACGAGGGAAGGGAGTCAGGCCGATACAGGTTGCAGCCTCAGGCCTCCCTCCTCGCTGCTTTTCCTGGGCCTGTGGCTCCGGCCGCGGGTGCCTGTGGGCAGCCCTGTCCTTTCTTGCTGCCGCTCCTGCTCAGGCCGCGTGCTGCTCCTTCCGCACTGGGACTGGTACGTCCTCAGCCGTGCTCTCCGACACGGAACAAGCCCGGAAGGTGCAGGAGAGGCCAGGATTCCGTGCCCTGGAGATAAAGAGTAGAAAAGGCAGTAACACGTTTCTTCGCCCGTCATTAGCACAAACTGAGCACAAACGCTTGGGTTAATACAGGAGAAGAGATTTCCCCAGGCCAGGCTTCCAGCTCCTGCTTTCTAGGAGTATCGGGCCGGCTCTCCTCCGGGTGTGTGGCGTCATCTCTGATGGGGCTCCCTGGGGGCTGAGGGGCCCGGGGGTGCCTGGGGCCGCGGTGAGAGCTGCACCGCATCTGTCCCAGGGACCAACATGCCGGCGACCTTCGGGCACCTCGCGGGTGGCTACGACGCCCAGTACTACGGCTACCTGTGGAGTGAGGTGTATTCCATGGACATGTTCCACACGCGCTTCAAGCAGGAGGGCATCCTGAATGGCAAGGTGAGGGGAGGCCAGCCACTGGGCGGGGGCGGGGAGGGGGTGCACCTGCCTGTGGAGGGAGCAGGTGACCTCTCAGCCCTGCTCCCCTCTGCCCAGGGCCAGAGTGGGCGAGCCGAGGCGCCTGCTGCTCTGTGCCAGGCGCTCCACCCTGAGGGGTCGCCGCCCCGGGCCCTCCTGGGACCAGGTACTCAGCCGGCTTCCTGACCTGTGTTGAGTCACGACGGAGGCCCGAGCACCTGTGTTGTGGGGCTCGGCTTGGGCTTCACGCCCTGTGCAGATGAAGGGCCCCGGGGAGCTTCTGAGGACAGGCTTCCTGCACACGTGCTCGTGAATACACTCGTGTGCTTGTGCTCTCTTAGGCTCCTGCGGGTGCCCGTGAGCCCGCTTGTGGCTGGGAGAGGGGAGGGGATGCGGGTGGGCTGACCCGGGTGGGCCGGGGTGCGGAGAGCCTCAGCCCCACCCCTACTCCCGACAGGTGGGCCTGGACTACAGGAGCTGCATCCTGAGGCCTGGCGGCTCCCAGGACGCCAGCGTCATGCTGAAGCTCTTCCTGGGCCGAGACCCCAAGCAGGACGCCTTCCTCCTGAGCAAAGGGCTGCCGGCGGACGGCAGCAGCGAGCGACCGGCCTGCTGACAGGCCACGGCTCCGTGGGCCCCACCCCAGCTCCCGCCACCCAGGGAAATGGGGTGCCTGCCGCTCAGGGTGGGGGCGGGGTGAGGGGCGGAGCCGTCGGCCCTCCCCGTTCCTCCCCCGCATCCGGCCTCCGCAGGCCGCCCTCGGTGGCCGCCTGGGCTGGCGAGGTCTCGTCGTCAAGGTGCCTGGAGACCTCTGTGCAGTCACCGCCACTTTGTTGCACTAACCCATCCCCTCCTGGGAAGTTTTCTGAGTGAAAAACAGTTCTTTGAAATGCAGCCATTAAAAAAAAAAAAAAAAGGGAAAAGACTGTGGGTCTGGGCCCTGATGTTGTCCCTCTTTTTTTTTTTTTTAATTTTTTTAATGTTTTATTTATTTCTAGGAGAGAGAGAGACAGCGTGAGCAGGGGAGGGTCAGAGAGAGAGGGAGTCACAGACTGAAACAGGCTCCAGGCTCTGAGCTGGCAGTCAGCACAGAGCCTGACGCGGGGCTCGAACCCACGAACCGCGAGATCATGACCTAAGCGAAAGTCAGACGCTTAACTGACTAAGCCACCCAGGCGCCCCTGAAGTTGTCCCTCTTACGCAGAAGAGCGGGCTGTGGACGGGGTCTGGTGGGCTCGGTAAGCCCCGGACCTGGCCGGCCGTCAGCCCTCATGCTGGGGGCGCGGGGCATCAGTGGCTGCTCCGTGCTGGGGTGTTCTGGATCGTGACCAGAGTGGGTCCCTGGGAGCCGGCAGAGCTGGCACAGCGAGTGCGCGACGGGCGTGGCGCTGCCGCCCCCCAGGCCGGGTGTGCCGCCAGCCCTTCCTTTCCCTGTGCAGTGTTGGCCTCTGTGGGACCAGGCTCAGCTCTTCAAGAGGCTGCAAGGCCAAGACTGGCCGCCTGTCCCCGTGCAGGGGCGAGGCTGGAGTATGCCGCGAGCAGCTGCCCGGGCCTCAGGGCCCATGCCAGCCCCCCGGGCAGAGCTCCTGTCCCAGCCCATTGGCCGGACTCAGGGATTTGTGATTTGACAGTTTCTGATTAATGGGTGCAGCTGCCGGAAGCCAGGCGGTGACCTTCTGGTCCATGTGACCTTGAGGACGGGGGCATCCGCGCGGCCCTTGGCCCGGCCCCCCTGGCTGGTTGCAGCACCGCTGAGTCTGGCTGGGGTGGGGGTGGGGGTGGGGGCCGTGCTGGGTCCTCTGGTAATTCTTCCAAGCGCCTCAGGTGACGCTTTCTGGTTGCGGTGGAAATTCGGAGGGGTCTTTGGCAGGACGGGTATGCGTCCCGCCTTCCCTTGGTGTGGGCCACCCCGGGGTTTGATGCCCGGGTCTCTGAGCCCCGTGGGAGCCCTGCCACCTGCTCCTGAATGGTCCCTTAGCCCCTTGCAGAGGGCCCAGTCCGTGGAATGAGGAGCTGGGCGGCCGTGCCTGCAGGGGCCCCTTGCCCGCCCAGTCTCAGCGGCCCTGGGCCGGGCGGCTGGGGCCTGCACGGTGGCATCACCTGCCCTTAGGCAGACCTGTCTCGCTTCCTGCTCCCACCTCTGTGCCCAAGAGCACAGGGGATGGGGGCCCCGACTGGTGAGGGCTCTGCCGGGAAGGAGGGGTTGAGACCATCTGAGGCAGCTGTCGCTTACTCTTAAACCATCTGGGGCCCAAGAAGGCGCAAAGACCAACACGGAGGGCAGGGCTTCAGGGGCCTCTGTCCAGTAGGGGTCACGTTGCGGGGCCGGGGCTCTCCCGTCTTTCCTTCACAGAGCCCCCCACACCCGCTGCCTGTCCCCTGTGCAAAGTCCAGCTGGGGTGCCGGCCCCCCGCGGCATGCTGGGTAGTCGGGGGGCCGGGGTAGGGGGGACGCAGCTTCAGGGGCCCCTGGCTGGGGGCTGGGGTTGGGAGGAGGGGTTGGCGCTCGGCCCGCGCGGTGCCACCTGCAGCCTGCTTGCTGAGGGCCGCTGGCTTCGTGTGCCCGCCCTGCGCTCAGGGTCTGCTCAGGACGCTGGGGACGCAGCTGTTGGATCCTCCTGGTTGGTGGGCCGGAGCAGCCACCGGACTCGCCCTCCCTCGGGGCTGTTGCAGGCGGGCGTCTGGGGCCGGGGCCGGTGTGCATGCCTTGGGGCGTCCCCAAACAGCAGTGCCAGCTGGAGCCGGCAGCCCAGCAAGAGATGGCCCAGCGTGGCCTCGCTGGTGAGCGCGGCCTGCTGCTTCCCGGGGCCAGCTGGGCTCCACGTCAGGGCTGGAAGGTTGGCGGCGGGGGCGGGGGGGGGGTGGCGGCCAGGTGCACGGGCTGGGCCACGTGGGAGCCCACGAGACCTGGGAAAGTGAGCTGACCTTGGCTGCTCACGCACCCTGAGCGTCCAGTGGGCTTTCCCGCCGGCCCGCAGTGCATGAGGTGGGGGTGCCGCTTAATCCGAGGGGCCCACAGGCCCCAGGTTAGGACCGGCACTGCGGGCCATCCCTCAGACCAGAGTGCAGTTCTCGGTGACAGATAACCCCACTGGGCCCATGCTGGCGGCCCCAGGACTTCTGTTGAAACTGGGAAGTAAGGGGCGCCTGGGTGGCTTAGTCGGTTAAGCGTCTGACTTTCGCTCAGGTCATGATCTCGCGGTTCGTGGGTTCGAGCCCCGCGTCGGGCTCTGTGCTGACTGCCAGCTCAGAGCCTGGAGCCTGTTTCAGTCTGTGACTCCCTCTCTCTCTGACCCTCCCCTGCTCACGCTGTCTCTCTCTCTCTCTCTCTCTCTCTCTCTCTCTCCTAGAAATAAATAAAACATTAAAAAAAAAAAACTTAAAAAAAAAGAAAGAAACTGGGAAGTGAAATTCCGTGTCCCCTGCCCCAGACTTGAGACTGGGGAGTAAGAGTGAGGCCCCGGGGGAAACGAATCTGAGGGAGGCTGCTCCTCATGCCACCTGTGCGCCTGTGAGCCAGTAAGTTCCCTTTCCTGCCTCAGCCAGTTTGAGCAGCTGTTTGTCACCTGGGACCCACAGAGTTCTGTCCTTGACCCCGTCCCTGCCGACCCCGCTCCCCCTTCCCCGGCTTGTGGCCGCCAAAGCTGGGCTCCCCAAAACAGACCGGCCTCTCAGCCTCCAAGAACTGTCCGGGAGTCCCCTCTGACTGGGGGTGTCAAGGTGATCGGGGTGGGCAGGTGCCGGGGTCCTGTGAGCATCATGTTGGTTCTGGTCTGGGAGGGACTCTGTGGTCCTCACTGCCCCTGAGCCCTGGGGAGGCCAGGCGGGGCCGAGAACCCAGGGCTCCCCCTGTGCAGGCTTCTGTCCATTTCTGTCCACGCATCTCAGAACAACAGGTGCATCTGTGTGTGTGTGTGTGTGCGCGCGCAAGTGCGCGCACGTGCGGTTGACACCTGCACCGAGGTGAATTTCCATAAAATACACATGAAAAGTACGCAAGCTGATGACCCACTCACAAAAGCGTCACCACAATCGGGACAATACCGTGTCCTCCGACGTGTGCATCTGCTGCCATCAGTACTGGTGCATCTCCATTTTTCTGAGGTGTTTTTTTTTTTTTAATGTTTTATTTATTTCCAGGAGAGAGAGAGAGAGAGACAGCGTGAGCAAGGGAGGGCCAGAGAGAGAGGGAGTCACAGACCGAAACAGGCTCCAGGCTCTGAGCTGGCAGTCAGCACAGAGCCCGACGCGGGGCTCGAACCCACGAAGCGCGAGATCATGACCCAAGCGAAAGTCGGACGCTCAACCAACTAAGCCACCCAGGCGCCCCGTCCATTTTCCTGAGTTTTATGTGAAAGGAGCCGAGCATTGTCTGGTTTCTTACGCTGCTTACGGTTTCGAGGGGCGTCCACACGGGCCCCTTGTGTGCACTGCATTGTGTTCCCTACACTGGGGGGTTGCTTATTCCTCTGGTTTGCTCTGGGGTGGCTCGAGCTTGGGGCTTTAAGATGAAAACTGCTGTGGACATTTGTGTACCTGCCTTCGCAGGGACGTGTGCTTGCAGCTTCTCGGGTAAATACCCCGATTCCAGCAGGCGTAAGGCCGCATCTCGTCCCGGGTTTCTTCTGCTCAGGAGGCCAAGCAGCTCTCAATGCGCGTATCTGCCATCTGTGCTCCTCAGTGCGGCGTCCCCACTTCTTACCCGGCTCTATCTGCCGCAGTTAAGTACTTGGGACCGGAAATAGTTGCACACTTAAGAGAAGCTCATTTATAATAGCAGCAAAAACATTGCACGCCTGGGAGTAAGTCGGACAAAAGATGTACAGCTGCTCTATGAAACACGGTTGAGGGAAATGAAAGAAGAGATGGTGGAGGAATATAGCTGTTCACTGAGCGGAGAGGCTGGGGGACCCCTCCCCTCCCCCCCCAGATCCACAGATGTGGTGCATTCCCAGCTAAAATTCCAGCAGCCTTTTTTGTCTTTGTGGAAACTGACTTGATGATTCTAAAATTTATAAGAAAATGCAAAGAAGCTAGGACAGCCGAGGGTCCGGAGCAGAAATCTGGGGGATGAGCCCCGTTAGTTGCCAAGTGAAGCAAGCGTGGCCTGGGCACCGGGGAGTGGGGGGCGGGACGAAGTCACTGGAGGCGCAAAAGAAACAGAGGTCCGGAAACAGACCCGCACACAGGAGACACCTGCCTCTGCACCCAAGACGTCACTGCAAGGCTGGGGGAAGGCCCCCCTTTCCAGCCAGTGGACCTGCAGACAGAAAACCCCAACCTTGATCCGCCCACGTATGCCCTGCACAAAAACTAAATGGATCTACGTCTAAATGCCAAAGGGCAGGAAACATTCCAGAGATCTTCTCCCACCCCGTGTCCCGCCTTACTGAGTTCAGTGCCGCCCCACTGTGCGCCCAGTACATCGTCAACCCATCTTGTGGATATTTGCAGAATTAATTGAAAGGAGGCAGGCTGCAGTATGGGATCTGTCCACCGGGGGGCAGGGCCGTGCCCCGTGTAGCCATTCAAGGCTCACACCCCAGAGAAGGCTCTAGAAGGTCCCTGGATGGAAGTCCTTCTAAGGTGTAGGACAGGTGTCTCAATCTCCTAGACAAGTCCAAGAAAAAAAATCTAGTAGCCAAGAAAACAGAACAGGTGAAGTTAATATTTTACTTAACTCAATGTACCCAAAATACCAGTTCAATATGTTATCAGTAGAAAAAGCCATTAAATAAACATATACGTTTTGTGGGAGCAAAGCCTTCAGAATCCAGTATCTTGTTTCATAACATGGCTCATCTCAGCACAGATGGCAACATTTTGAGGCTCAACAGCCACACAGGGCTAACGCCCGTTGACGGGACAGTGTGTGACCTGACCAGAAGGTATCAAATGGGACCCTGCACGGGAAGGC